ACCAACCTCCACATTTCATACCAGCCCAGGCTGCCCAGGGCCCCATCTAACCTGGCCTTGAACACCTCCAGGGATGGACGGGGCTCCCTTTAGGTACTGCAGGCTGCAATGAGGTCACCCAGCAGCCTTCTTTTCTCCAGGCTGAACAAGCCCAGCTCCCTCAGCCTGTCTTCGTAGGGGAGGTGCTCCAGCCCTCTGATCATCTTTGTGGCTCCTCTGGACCCTCTCCAACAGCTCCCTTTCTTTCTTGTAATGGGGGCTCCAGACCTGGACGCAGTACTGCAGATGGGGCCTCACAAGAGCAGAGTAGAGGGGGACAATCACCTCCCTGTCCCTGCTGGCCACCCTTCTTTTGATGGAGCAAGAGGGGTTGCCAGCAGGGACAGGGAGGTGGTTGTCCCCCACTGACCTCCATTAACACACCAGCTGTCCCCACACAGACAAGAAGGAAACCAAGGAAGGGAGCACTGTGGCACCAAACCAGCACCTTTTGGGGCTGCCAGGTGGCCCTTTCCTCTCACCTAAGCATGGTCAATAAAGGGCAGTGATCTCATCTCTTGGCCAGTACTGTTTGTTACTTGACATGTACACGTCACAAAAACAGCCCAGCAACACTAAGCGTGGAACTGCTATTAAGGTGTCATTACTGGCAGTGTAAAACTATTGCTGTGTTTGCTTTCATAAGCAGTGTCCACCTTTCACTGATACCTATCACCCAACGTAAATAATACTGGCATTAGGAAATCTGATTGGATTGATTTTCACTCACTGACGTAGATTTACATTTGATCAGAAGAAATGTCTTGTAATGTTTATTTTTATTTCCATATTTGTGAAAATTATGGACATCAGTATGAAGAATGTTTTTTTTTTTCCTTACATGTCTCAGGAGACAAAATCTTACACGTTTAGACACAGATGACCCTCCTACTGGCCATGTCTTCAAACAGTATTCTTTTAAACCTCTTGAAATTTAGTTCATCAACAAAGATAACTCTCTGTGCTAATCCTACTCGTACATGTCAGCAAAGTATTGTTGCATCAAATACTGATCATTCTGGACAGGCCACAGGACTTAAATAGAGCTCCACATCCCAGCCATATCTTGCTAGTGGTTGCTAACTAGTAGTTCTTAATTCACTTTTTAACTAACAGACTGAAAATATAATGCCCTTTGCCCTGAAAAAAAAATAAATAAATAAATAGCAGTTTTAAATATTCCTCATATTCATCATCAGAGAGTATCATTTCTTCAAATTAGCCAAGCCTGCAGCTACATGAAAGTGCCAGCTTTTCTGAAGCTCACCTTACCAACCCAGAGCGCTAAGATTTCCTTTTTTTGTGGGGCATATGTATATGCTGAGTGCCACAGGAATGCAAGGAATGCTCTCCTGGGCTCTTCTCCTTCATCACTTCAGGGCACTGAATATCTCCTGTTACAGACGAGCTTGCCTGACGTGTTCCTATCTCTAAATCAAAACATAGCTACCCACTCCATTTTAATATGCAATTAGTTTTAATTCCAGACCTATTACCTTTAACAGCATAAAGCGAAGTGTTGCACTGCGATTAATTTCTGTTGTGCTATCTGCTAGTAGAGTACCTGTGATTCACAATGATACTCAGCCTCAGCTGACACGATTTTGGGTGCTCTGATTCTGCTCTGATTAGCGTAACAAACCTTGATGGCTATCAGTGTATGTCAGAGGCCCATCACATGCCACAGACTTGTTAGACATGACAAGGAATGAAAGCTAGAAAATTACGTTCAGATACATCCAACACTTTTTCAAAAGCATTTAAGAACATGTTGTACCTGCTTACTCTTTTTTTAGTTTTCTGTAAGCAACACAGTATTATGTAAATGCTTCTCATTTTTTATGCTCTCTATGGTGGATACGAGTCTGCCCCGCATGATGTTTGGTTTTTTGCCAATATTGTAGTAGTTCTTGCATCTGAATAGGAAAAAATATCAAATAATCATTTAGGCTAAGCCCTGCTTGTCATGCAAACGTTGGTGAGGTACAATTTACAATGTCACATATGTTTTTGCAGCCTTCATGTTCATTCTTTCCCATTTTCTGTCTTAAACAGTAGATCAGTGTTTTGCAGTACACACCTGTATCAGGATTGCCATTCCTTTTGCATTTCTTTTTTAGTTAAATATACATATAGCATATGTATGTAAATATATAAATGTATACACACCATATAATTTCAGTAAGATATGTACCATCAGTGAGGATACAAACCCATGGATATCCTTTCATCTTCTTCCTCTGGGTAAATTGTCTTATTTTCTTAAATTTTCTTTTATCATCTGAAGACTGTGTGGCAGCTATAGCAAATTCACACAGATGAGTTCTGGTATGCAGAACTTCCCATTTGCTTCTCAGCTCTCACCTGGCAGCTTCTCTGCAGACCTAAGAAGTTCCTTTCATAACCATTTGTGTAGGTGGAATGCAAAGGTGTCCATCTGATGGACCACCCCATGTCTGACATTGAGAACGAGAGCTGTTCCTATTGGACTGAGTAGAATCCAATTTTATTGGATTTTAAGTCAAGGATGGCTGATCTCTACTACCAGGGGAAGACCAGGCTCCTTTGAACAGGTTTATCTTCTATGCTTGGATTTTTGGGATGACAACATTTCCTAGAACACTGTTCTGTTCTTTTGAGGTTTATACATGGATGGGATTACTACCATTGCCAACTCCATTTTGTATTATCTTTCACAACATGAAAAGAATGGCTGATGTTGTTTTTTTTTTGTTTTGTTTTGTTTTTTTACAACATCCCATAGCTACATGTCTCATCTTCATCCAGACATCACCAGTGCACGAGCACAGTATATAGCCACTACCCTGTATGCCTGTGGTGTAGGATAGAAAGATATCAGAGAGTTAACACAGTCCATGCTAAAGTAATTTTTGAACATTTACCATTGCTTTATTGTCCTTTTGCAGTTGTAAGGCAGCATAAAATCCAAAATGCTGTAAAAGAGAGCCTGGTCTGCGGCTCTAAACAAAATTTATCCCTCTTGAGACTAACAAGGAGAGTTTGTGACTACTATGATGTATTTCATATATCTATTCAGAGTTTGCCAGTTTGTTTGGTTACACTTGGGAATATTTATCATTCAACTTTTCTGTAGCTGCATCCATCTAAAGCAGCTTTAACTAGTGAGCTTAATCCTAGCAGAGGTAGCTCAGGGACCTGCACAAATTAGCAGTCCAAATACTTACAGTGTCTCCTGAGAGGAATTCACAGTCCACACAGCATTCAGATTCACAGGTAAAGGAACCTATACAAAGGGAAAGGTGGCTGAAATCTGTCTTGCAGGAACACCTTGAGAGCACAGCGATGGATCACGGACCATTATGCCGGATACTGAATGAACACCAGATATATTAGCATGAACTCTCAGAGGTCAAGCCTGAATTTCTGAAGTAAGCTCAGACAGGCTCACGCAAGTTTCATGCACCCTTGTGATCACGTTGCACGTGTCTCCATCATCTCTCAGTCATGGAAGTGCTGTTAGGACGTGCTTATGAGTCTTCTGTCCTGCTTCCTCCACTTGAAGAGTGGTCTTCAGGATTTCCTTTCGCCTTTTCATCCTGTAAAAAGAACAGTTGTAGCAATTCCACTTGTGTAAAATATTCTGACAATTAAGTACCATCTTTTGTCATTATCAGGTTGTTTCATATTAATGCTATTAATAATAGTCATAAATCAGTTCTTCCTTGCTGGTAGGCTTGAGAACAGTTTGCCCAGGAGAAGAGAGAGGTGCAAATCTTGATTTTTTGAATTGCACCCGCTGCATGCTAAGAAAAGTAACAGACTAAAACCAGGTCTCTTTGGGATAGATGACATATACTGATTGATGCAGGTTAAAACTGCAGTCAATTAGTCATCCACGATCTGCTGCAGGCAGGATTACAACCATAGAGTCATAGTAGCCTTAGAGTTCAAAGGGACACCTGAGGGCATCTAGTCCAACAGCCCTGCAATGAACAGCGGCACCACAGCTAGATCAGGATGCTCAGGGCCTGATGCAGCCTGGCTTTGACAGTCTCCATGGCTGGGGCACCAACCACGTCACCAAGCAACCTGTTCCAGTGCCTCACCTCCCTCGCTGTAAAAGATTAGGAGTGATTTCATCTGGTGAAATCTGTTATACCACAGTTCTGCAAATTATACATTCATCATCATCTGCTTTGCGAATATTATATTTAAGTAGCATCCAAAATAAGGACAAAATACTTTGTTCTTACTCACGTGTTCATCACTGGACAAATTCAAGTTCAAACTTACATTTCAGTCTTCTGTTTTTAAACCAATATATTTCCTGGAAGAAAATGCATACATAAATCTTTCTTAAAGAACAGTAATTGAGTTGTTTAAGATAATCTTTTCAAGCTCCTAAAATGTAAACATTACATGATTGTGCTGAAGTATGAAAAGGGGAAATTGTCTGGAAGCCAATCTAGACAGGATTACTATTTATTCAAAGCTGGCCAAGTCTTTGGAAGAATTTAGCTCAAGTATGAACAACAGATAGCCAGATACTCATTAATATCCATCGATACTGCTTTTCATAAAACACAGAAAGTTGACAAAATTAAATCCGTTGCACTAATGGATCATGCATAATGATTAATAAAACATCTAAATCTCTGCAAGGAAAATGAAACACAAAAGAAGTAGGAATTTTATTCCCGCGCAAAGATGTGAATTATTTATAAGTGAAAAGTTTGTTGTTAACTCTGTTCTTAAGATCTTTCACTGCAAATGTGGGGTTTTTTCAGTATTAGGGTTCTACACTGGTTGTCTAATTTTCACTATCATAAATCTTTTTTAAGATAATCAGTTTGATTAAGTATGATTGACGTGCTTGGCTTTTGGTCTATACGAACTCTTTATACATATGTATATTCATAATTTTTGGCATTACTGCAGGCTATTAATTTTTTTAAAATTAACTTTATGGCTGGTAGCATTTTTCTGTTGTGAATTATTGAGTAATTATTCCAGATATTGCCTTTCCTCAGACAGCCACCAAGTGCTGTTTACTGCACTGCTCAATGAGCTCGTGTTGGAACTGCCTCTTGGAACCAACCCCCGAATGCTGCATTCCCCTCATGTTTCACCTCTTTACTCTTGTCATCATGTTCTATAGGAATCAGCCACACTCTCCCCTACTGCAGCACACTACGCTGCATCAGGAATATTCCCCACTATGATACTAACAGCGCCCAATTATGGGTGCATTTAAGAGCACTTCCAATTCCACTGCTTTCTAATGACCTTTATAAATTATTCCATTGCTTCAAAATTAATAACTGTTGGACGAGTCGTGTGTTTGTGTGGTTCTGCCTGCTTCTTCCTTCAGTCATCCTTTAGATCTGTCCAAAGCATATGGAGATGTGTGGGTGTGAGCTTGAGTGTTTCTAAGCTGTGCATACATATCCTGGCAAAGCATATTCACACCTATATCACAATGTGACAAGTACTAGGTACCAATTTAAGTGGGGAGAATCAACTTCAAGATCTGTCAAAGCTAAAAAAGTTAATATGTTTGTTACTTACAATCAGTGACATCACACTTCATTAATTTATATTCCTTTTTTGTTTTGTTTTGCTTCCAGAGGAAACCGTTTAGTACTTGGAATAAAACAGAACTAAAATTTAATTTTTCCTTACTCCAAAAAATGTATTTAAGATAGATCAACACTGAGGTGAGCTATCAAAGCAATCTAAACTTAACGTATTGCCTGGAATTGCCCTCATCAGCCCTGACAGTATAATGACAATATACCTACCCTCATGCATGCGGAGTGCCGTGCTGCAACCATTAACTGAGAACATTCATATTCAACGATGGAAAAGGGTTCAAAATGTTGTTATGATCAAGTTTGTTTTCTAAATAACATGTTTATCGGATGTCAGTGGTGAAAATTAAGACTTTCTACGAGTCTCTTTTGCAGAAAACTTGCGGAGATTCCTGTTTCCACTCCCAGCCTTCTCTGAACAAATACAGTGACAAACCGGAGTATTACATCCATCTGAAGAAGGAAATCCATGATTAACATGGAAACAAAGACATGAAGGAGCTGACAAAAATAAGCAGCACTGCAAAGGTGACTTGTTACTAACCATGGGGCAGAAGTTCATACAACGAGCTACTTGTACTGCCAGGGTCTGTTTCTAAGGCACACTTGAAATAAATAATTACTTTCCTTCTATTATTTTGTTTACATTTCACAATCTTTTCCATTTGTTAAGCAGATAATACTCTTTAAATGCTAAGCACCAAGATGATTATACCGCTATTGCAAAAACATGCTAACCTGCCGCTCGCTTCACTTCTGATTTCCAGAACATAAGTTATTAAAAAATAATAATAAAATAAATAAATAAACACCTCTCACATTTTGGCTGCATGCAGGGGAAGCTGCCAACAGGAGATCTGCACCCAAGAAAATACATCTTGTGAATGTGTTTTGTAAGTCAGAATGGAAACTGAAGTGAAGCGATTGTACAAAAGTAGTAGTAGAGATGAGGGTTACTTTTTTGTGGGGAGCCAAAAGGACGCTTTGGAAGATGCACATCTTGAAAGACATATGAACCCTTAAAGATTTTGTCATGGGGAAGTTATTTTCTGGGACTTTTTTCCCTTTTTCACGCAACTTAAAATACTGCTGACTTTTTGGCATCTTACCAGCATGACAAAAACACTGCACAAAGCCACAGTAAATACACCCTGGTGTATTTACCCATGTTGAATTTGTGTTTCTCTTCCTTCAGCTCCAGCTAGCTGGAATGGAGACAGCACAGTGTATTTAGTCCTTTGGACAAGAAAGTCTTGACATACCTCAGGAGTGTCCTCCTCTTAAAATGCTGCAGGGTGGAGGCTGGAATCCAGTGTGTTTTCAATCCCATCCATGTGAGGTAGGGCACAGGTGGACCCTTTCTCCAGGTCCTCAGCTAATGAAAACCCATGTATTTCAAGGAGATCAGCTGGTTCCTGCCTGTTTAAAACAACACAGGATCTGCTCCTTGGCTCTGGTTCACGTTGGGGTTGCTGGGAACTTCCATAATGTTGCAACAGAGGATGGCTATGCCCCCTCCAGCAAAAAATACTGAACTGTTTGAACCTTCCAGAAAGAGAGTTCTCTCTAAGTCATGCTCAGCAGTGCGGCTGAGAAGGGCTGCAGAACAAACAGAGAAACAATCTTGCCCTTGTTTGTCCAACGGCAATGTCTGTGTCTTGTTAGCAACGCAACAGCTCATGAAATGATAAGTCCCCAGGTTGAAGCTAGCTCTGCAACTTCATTCCATGGATGCAAGTAGCTTATAATTTTGCCTGAAGCCTTAGCATTACTCTTGCACTCAGGATAAAGCAGAATCTTCTTACCATGGAGGAAAAGAAATGAAGTACAAGAGAAAGTTTCATCTTCAATTTATTTGCCTTGGTCCTCTGCGCTTCAGAAATAACACCAGCCCTCCTGAAGTTAAGTATTCACACAGATATTTTGTTGCATGCAAATAGACTTTCTTTGAACTACTTATCACTCTTAACCTCTGCTCCTCACTGACGCAATTTTAGTAAGGATCCCACTCTCCACACACGTGAACGTGAACCAGACAGCGGGCTGATACTCCCGGGCAATGTAAATACAATAGGTTAAAACACACATCAGCACGTCTCCAAAATGCAAAGAGGGGCCCTTCAAGCAATAGCATTACACATTTTTTTGATACCAGCAGGAATGGTGCAGATACTCAGCTAATTTTAACTCGGAGGGCAACGCTGAAGCAAGGGAAAGTGTTTCTCTACTGTGGTTAGATCCTGAAAGACCGATGTAGGCAGGAGTCGAGCTGCATTTCATTTAGTGGGAGCTAAAGCTGATGCTTCCAAAGACAGTCTTGTGGGAAATAATAAAGGGCAGTGGTCCACAGGTAAAGTGAACTCACGCCGCAGTGCTTGTAACTCTTGGTTATGATGAGATTTAAAGAGGAATAGAAGTGCTGGGTGCATCCAGAGCACTGCATAGCTATAAGGCACCAATTTAAAACTCAAATGGTTTTGCAATGAGCATACGTGCATTCTGTCATCAAAATAACATAGGACTGAATAGGCCTGGTAGAGCATTTCTGTCCCCCAGATGTTTGAGCTTAAATCACAGTCTTCCAACTCTAGCAGGCATTTGTAACATTTAAGGGCAAGTGAAAATGCTTAATTGGCCCAGATGTACTCACTTAAAAAATTATTAAGCAGAGTAGGGTAGCCAACATTAAAGGCTTTGGATGTGGAATCCATAAAAAAGTGATAACTTGTAATTCATCAAACAGCAATTCTCTAAGACTTTTTCTGCCCATCATTCCCATGAATTCATCTGAAACTGCATAATGTTTAGAAAACCAGAAAATAGGTTGCATTTCCTATTTCTCCAGAGTAATTTCTGGGGCCAGATACCCTCCCCAGAGCAGCAAGAGGAAGATAATACCTGAACCCAGAATTCTCTTAAAAAAAAAAAAAAAAAAAAAAAAAAAAAAAAACCACCCTTTTGGGGTTAAAAAACCATGATTAGTTTACTCTGTTCCACTTCTCCACCCTGCTGTATGCAGCAGGTGAAGGTGAGCATCACTGCCATGCTAGGTTGCTCATTAACTAGTTCTCAACATCTTTCTGAGAAGATGCAGAGTCCTGTCATGACTGAACATAATTACATTTTTAAAAGAGGGAAACTGGAGCAATATTAAAATAAATGCTTGCTTTAACCTATCTATCTTTAACTCATCCTTCTTATGACTTCAAGTAGACAGGCTATTCTCAGTCTATTTGCCCAGAAAGCATGAAGGAGGTGCAGGTCTATAAAGCAGATCCTTTTTCTTACAGTCTCCCGCTTGTTTATTCAGGACAAGTGCCACTCCATCTCTTATTATAATTCCTTATTGGGGTAAGGTAGCTACTGATTTCTAAACCTATTTCCTCCAGATACCTATGCATGTTCTGAGGCACACAGAGGGTGCAAAAACCCCTAATGCTGGTTATTAAACCCTCTTCCAGAGCTCACTGATCTAGTTTAGGAACCATATCTCACAATATGATCTCATCCCTAGCCAGATTTTTTCCTGCTGGATGACACTTGAAGCATTTACTGGCTCGCCTGTGCAAGGTAAAGCATGCCAAAGTAGTCATGCCAGTAACAACTCAGACAGAATGCAAAATTTCAAAAATGCCTGCCATAGCTATAGATTATTCCAGCCCCCTCGCTTAGATGAGATGCAACATTACAAAAACTTTTGATAGAGCTGAGTTCACACTGGGGCTGTTGCTGTTACTGTAGCTACTTGAATTTTAATCCTACAGTTCAAATGGAAAAAAAAAATTAATCCTGCCTTGTCCTTTCACCTGAGAAGACAAGCAATTTTTACCCCTCTTCATAATATCATTTCCCTCCGTTTAGAAGTATGACGTGAAGAAGCTCCAGATCTTCCATCAGACTTGGGTCTCTTTGATGATGCCCTTTGGCTCCTGCTCTTCTGTGTGAACTGAAGCTCAGTACAGTAGGAAACCTGGCCTCACAACTTTTAGAAATGCTATATATTTACCTAGTACTACTGTTACCTGAGACACATCTTAATTTTTGATGCCACTAATCACATCTTCCATATGGAGAGACATGCTCCCACGGTGAAACCATGTGATTTTCAGACAGAACATCAGAGAGGAACCCCAGGGAAGTGCAAGGATTTTCTTCCTTTATAACGCTCACTGCACAACGTATCTTTGAAAGAAACCCTGACCTGCGTCCCTCCTTGTTATGAAGCTCATTACAAAATGCACACACCCACCTCACAGAACTGTTCTGAGGACTCGAGCTTGCAGAGCCCTTTTGAGGATGAAAAGCACATATATAAGTACTATACAAGTACTGAGCTCTAAGCTCAGGCATGTGGACAAGCTGTGCACATTCAAAGTAAAAACCTTCCTAATGACATCCATCTGCATCTTGAATACAAGTGAAAAATTGTAAGACAGCCAGTGATCAAGGCCTTCTCATGCAGCTCACCCTACTGTTTGGCCGCTGGCCAGCCCAGAGAGCCCATGGAGGAAAATGGCTCTGGAGGAAGGAATGCGCACGTTGAACAGAGGACAGCTTTTCTGAAGGGTGAGAAAAATGAGGCTAACACCCCCAGCTGCCAAAGCCTTCTCTGGTACATGGAGGAATGAAGCAAGATAGAAGGGGAGGCAGAAACTGCAGCAGGCAGCAGCCTGCTACTCTCATCGAAGCCTGTATGCCCTAAAAGCTGAAATAGAAAACATTTTTGCATCAGGATCAGGTCTGCTTTGCATTGAGGATGTCTCTGTGGAGAGGCTGGGAGAAACCAGGCAGGAATTTCCTGGGAGCTGCAGCACCTAAGCCAACCAGGGAGGCATACCAGCCTTTGGTGTTAGTATTGCCAAGACTGAACGAATAACTTGAAAATGGCTATCATATATTTAGATAATTCAATCTAGAAAGCTTTCTAATCTTTCATTAAAATTTTACACACAAGAGATTTCCCCTCTAATAAATCATAATTTACATTTAGATAGTACCTCTCATTCTAATAGCTTGTCTTTATTGAGAAGCCGATTCCAGTCATGAATCACACGTTATCTTTCATTCAAATGCCTGCCGTAGCCAAAAAGCCCTGAATAAAATATTTAAGCAGCTTTTAATTCACATTATCTTGTACCAGATCAATTCAGCACAACTCATCAACTAACACAGTCAATAATTAATGTGCTTGCAGTTTGTCTGCACCAGGCTTCTGTCAGTCCTCCTGCCTCCTCCTACAGCTTGCTGGGAGAGCCCATGGAGAGCAGCCAGCTTGGCCACGGCTCACCAGAGCATGCTTCATAGAAGAGCAGAGCCCACTAGGACAATGACTTCCCTGAGACCTCCAGGGTCTTTTTTTAAACAAAGCTCCGCCTTCTCCTAATAACTAATTAACATATTCATTGTCTGTATTGCCCTCAGGCCTGTCTCCACCTCAGCAGCACATCCTCCAGGGAGACTGCGTGGCCCAAGGCAGTCCTGACGCTTCCAATGCTGCTGCTCCAAAACTGAGTGCCCTTGTGCAGTCTTTATAATGGAATTTGCATTCTTTTCACTTCTAGAAATTTTGAAAACATATGGTATAGTCCACCAAACATAAAGTACTCGAGTTTTCCTCTATTCCATCTTTCCATCACTTATCAGTTTTTATATACAAAATATGTCAGTTAGAAGAGAGGATTTTAGTCTCCTGAATACAAACATCATTGACTGCAAAAGAAGTTCATCATTAAGGCACGTAAGAAAAATAAAAGCTCTCTTTTTCTGTAAGCAATACCAGCACACCTACCATCGTGCAGCATCTCATGAGGAGGTCCAACACCTCTTCATCCAGTGACATCGTAAACGGCTAAAAGAATCCACAGAGGTTTTTAAGAAAAGAGCAGAGGTCAACTGAGGGATATGGTTTATTGCTAGGGTGGTGATAGGTTGATGGTTAGACTAGATGATCTTGGTGGTCTTTTCAACTATAATGATTCTAATCCTGTAAAGCTGGATGCAGGATGAAATCACAGTCCTGGGACCCATCAGCACAGATGCTGGCAGGAGGCTGCACACAGCAAAGCCGTGGACTCATTGGGTGGAGGTTTTGTTGTGCTCCCACCCTTGCATGACAGAACATGAAGCCACCCAGCTGCAGGGCAGATGCAGGGAGGAGAAAGAGGTGTGAGGAAAGGGAGCAGGCTGCAAAAATGAGAGAGCAGCCAAACCAGACTGGGAGGAGCAGCTGGAGGATCAGGAGGAGGAGCCAGGAGCAAAATGTGGTTGGGCAAGTAAACCCGTGGTGATTCAGAGATCAGTGTCCACCAGCTTACTCAGAACATCAGAATTCACCATAATCATGCACAGACAAGCATCCCCAGCCATGATCCCTGATACTCTCCATTGCCCTGTAGGGAAGGCTGGCACACAAATCAGAGCTGTCATGTACGTAGGTTGCTCTGAAAGTGACGCCTCCTGTTTACATTGTCATGGAAATGACAACAGCTATGAAAAGTACAAGAACAGTATTTGATAGAGCAAATTCTCAGCTACAAAACACTATTTTTCAACACAGTAACCACCATTGGTCGTGCATCTTTTTCATCGATGAACAGGAGGCTGCATGCTGTGCTCATAAAAATAGGCACCAATGGAGGCGACTCACAGTCACTGTCGCCAATTCTGGGGTGCACCACTCACCCCTCACTGTGCTCACAGCCACTGTTTGGTCTCCAGAAACGTTCAGCAAGCATCAGCAAATGCCAATGGGTGCAATTTTTTCTACATGGAGGATTTCAATGATACACCTTTGCTCCATAAGCAATTCCATGTCAGACGCCATTTTGTCGGACTGCTCCTCTGCTGCCATCTGTCACACAGCAACAAAATAGAGCAGGATATGGGTGGGAAGGTTCAACCTGTACTGCTCTAACACCAACATCTGCCTCTGACATCTCAGGCCAACATAATAAAGCAAGTGGTGTTACTTTTAAAGCAGCCCTTGTATGTTCCACTAGAATATTTAAGAACTTTTTGTTATCCTTGATTATTCATTAATTAGAAGTTTTATCAGCTCAGACATGGTTGGAAACATATTGGAAATCTCTGCTGAGTCATTTAGATATTACACGTATTGCTGTGGCACTGAAGGTTTGTTTTACTCTGCAGGAGTCCTTTGGGATCACACATACAGGAATGGCTAGTGCCCTAAGGTGCTGACAAATGAAAGAAAAAGAGGAGACAGCAGATGGAATCAGCAGCTGGAGTATCTGCAGAAAATAAGGCAGCTCTGACAGGCGTGCCAGCAAGGCTTTTGTCTGGGAGTCTTATTCTGTATCTTCTGCCATCACAAAAAATAAAAATTAAAAAAAAAATACCGAGTGAATCAGAGAAGAGACTTTTCTCTAGTGCTGAAAGACCAGTAATGCCCTCATGAGACCACTTCCATCCAGTGGAACATCCTGAAGATTCACAAGCTGTGTTACCATCATTTCACAGACAATTCCTAGAAATCCCTAGAAACTGGGATCTTTACAACACTTGTTTCTTAATGATACACCATTATACTTGTCAACAAGCAGTTCACAGCAGATTTACTACACCCAAAAAGACAGAGGCAGCCTCTCTTGAGGTCAACTATCCAAGCACACACATGCAGGAATCATCTCCAGGAGCAGCACCAGTGGTCCCTATAGAACCCAGGGGACAATACATCACAATGTGCCCACGCACAAAGGCTGCTGGCACGGTGATCAGTGCAGCAGCCATGGTGCAGCAGAGCTGTGGTGCTGCCCAGGCACGGACAGCCTGCAGCAAGGCCCCGCTCCCTCGCAGAGCCAGCAGGAGCCAAGCACTGGCAGAGGGCAGGGTGGTGTTCTCAGGTAGGCAGCAATGCTGGGGGTCTCGGGGCATGCAGCTCCAGCAGGGACAGGGCAATGCTGGTATAAGTGAGAATAAGGTAGATGAAATAAGGGCAAGGGAGATGAAAGTGCCAAAAAAAGAGCGTCTGTTACCTGGCACCGCAGTTTTTATTTCATCTCATGGATTGCCATATGCCTAGAGACTCGCAGAGGGAAACCCCCCCTTCTTTTGCTGCTTATATTTCCCATACCAAGAAGAGTTTTTCAACCATATCGTGCATAAGACATGCACGCATGCACAGTCAGAGACAGTGATGTGAACTGGAGACTTTTTCCATTTGGAGCTTTTGTGCTCCACTCAGCAGTTCTCTTCCATCACTTAAGAAGTGTGCCCTGCATCTGATGAAAAACTCACAGCATTGGAGGAGGGAGCATGGATCACTTGTGGGGGGCTGAATGAGAACCTCCTGCTGACAGCAGGCCAGGATTCCCCACTGGCCCTGGTTAGTGGCACTTACAAGTTGTCTTCCTGCTACAGCCCCATTTGAATTCCAAATGCACCAGTACAAAAGAGCAGGCTCAAGAATCAAAAGGGTTGGACTAAAAAAAAAGTACCTTTAGGAACTGAATCTGAATTTATCTTGGAGTCTGCATTTCAATTAAAGCAGTTGTCTGCATATCAATTCACACTAACAATGTTTTTTGTGTAATACAAATTTAGAGACAATGAATTTCATTGCATTTGTATCTGGCAATAACTGTAACTGTATGAATGACTTCAATATTCTCCTTCATTAAGTGCTGGAATACCACAAAGAATGACAAAGATGACATACACTGCATTAAAACACAGTACCTACGTTTCAACTTCACTAAATATACAAGTCTATACTTTAGTTACACACTGCTGTAGCTTCTGCTATTGAGTTATAAGTCACAGGAATATACATGCTGCAGTTTAGGGTCAGATTAAGAACATATATAATCTAATATCCTTTCCAAAATTGCTATGAAATCTCACTCACAATTTTTGCTTTACAGCCTCTTTGCAGCGAAAGCTGACTCGATTTAGCTACGGACCATGAAAAAGATTTCCCTTTGATGTTTTAAGTCTATTCCTAGCAATTCAATTCTAGTTTTTGCTCTATGAAATATTGTGATTGTTCCTTGTTCACCTTTTTCTGAACGAATGCTATTTAATAGCCCTGCTGGTCATTTCTGAGAGTAGGAGAGAATAAAACGTATTCAAGCTTCCTGAAAAAGCAGAGTCAAAACCACTTGCCCTGATTCCAGCTTACCATTAATTTTCAGCTGGTAAGGGTAATGCACTGGCACAGGTGGCTACATACACCCACACCAACCACTCTCAGAACATTTTCTCATTTTAACAGATCCTTACATGAAAAAACAGAGCAGCACTTCATACTCAGGTATTCTATCAAAGAGATATTCTATTTTTTTAAATCTAATATAGTGAAGTTAATGGTAAAATTGTTGTTACTCCCAGCGGATAGGGAGCATTCACTCTTAGGAGTGCTGTTTCTCAGGAAAAAATGCTTTCCCCAGAAAACTCATCATGGAAAGTGCTTTGGACTCTTCTTGCTGACTGCCCTTAATTGAACAACACTGCAGCAGCATAGTGTGACAGCAGCATCACTCCTGGGGTGGATCTCTGCCAGGCAATCCTGAGACAGGACTAACAGCCAAGGTTATTTTTAAAGCACCAGAAGTAACTTAATCGTACCAACATAATCACCAACCAAGAATGCATAGCTTGCTATTAGTGACACTGATATCTTGTAAAACGAAAAGTAAGCTGCACCTGATTATTTCTGATGTTCTCTTGCTTGTAATGGAACAAGCACGTTATTGCAAATTCACAAGTTCGCAGATTGGTTCAAAATTAACATATTACTCATACACATTATAGGACTTGTAAGTGCTCTGAGAAGCAAGCAGTCTCCTGTGTCTAATATTCCAGATAGGACTATGATTACTGTTTTACTGCCAGTGGTTTATAGATCAAATTATTAACTTTTAAGAAATTACCTTAACTCGTTACAGATAAAAGTCGAATTTATTTCTGCAATAGTGTCCATGAATTTCTTTCTTCTGATTTCAACAAGATACATGACTCTTTTGTCATGATCTAGTCTTTACAGAAGTAATACTCTCACATAGCTCCATACATACATCCTAGAATTTCTGTTGGTTCAAGTCTTGTCTCCGGACCCATCCAGCAAGCCAAAGGTCAGAGGGGGTTGTCATTGTCGTATAGTCCCAGAAACAGTCTTCTCAAGGAAGCAAAGATGATAAATCAGACAAACAAATCAGACAAGCCTGATTTAACAGGACTTTGTATGGTAGAGAATCCTGAAAAAACTGCTAGAATGAGGAGACTGAAAAGTAAAGTTAGCTTTTACTTCTGCTGTCTTCCAGCCAGCAGCTCTGAATCAATTTAGTAGCAAAATCTAAGACAATAAAAGCATATATAATGCTACTTGAGGTATGCTCTGCTGATATATTAACCTTTAGAAGACATCTAATAGTGCTATTAAGGTGATACTTCTTGTGTTTAAGCGCTTCATTGTTTCTGTTTCCTTAACGTATACACAAAGAAGGAAAGCACTAAAGAAGCACGACAGTGCGATGTCCTGATGCTGCATGCTCTGCACAGAGCGAGAGCAATTCATGGTGGGATGGAAAGACTTAGGCTGTCCTTCCAACCTCTTTGCTCTGCTGGCTCTAGTGCCATGCTCACAGGCAGTTCCACTGGGGCGCATCTGCACCTGCAGAACAGCTCTGGGCTCTGACCTCCTGGGAGCGATGCTGCCCTCAGCCCTGCTGACCTCCTGCCCTCAGCTCACATCTCGCGCTGTTTGTTTTGGCACAACTGCTTCCCTCCCCCGAGGCCACATGGAAAATGAGATCAAGGAACTGATGCAAGTTAAAAATAAACAGGGATAAAAACAAACATTTACTGTGCGGTTAAGAAACAGTTGTTGCAGAGCGATGGGCAGACGGGGGCAGGCAGGCAGAGCAGCTGAAGCTGTTGGAGAAATGAATGGCATGTGGCATCGGCCCAGCGCTGGCGGCTCACATTGGGTCCTGATCTCTGGACACTCCTCAGAGAGTGGGCTGTGGCACCAAACAGGTGCACACTGTGTTTACCACTGGCTCTGATTAACCGAGCCTGGAGGTTGTTTTCTTTTGCTCTAGAAGGGGTCAGAAAAAAAGGCCCCCCAAAAATAATGAGGCAGGCACCCTGCTCCTGGTGCTGTCCCCAACAAGTGCTTACCTCCAATTATTTATTGCTATTTGGTGCTTCTCAAGAGGAGATGCACTTAGCAGACAAGAGATGGAAAGCAGTTCATGATTCTGAGTCTCTGCCTCTACCTCCTTAAGAAAACAGTGGGAATAAAACAAAACTGAGAGGCATATTTGCGTTTGCAGCAATGTTTGAAATTACGGTCTGTAGCAGAACTTAAGCTTTCAATATTTATTATTTTCTCATTCACAAATTAATATCTAGCACTTCCCTTGAACTGGCTTATCCATTTCAAGACAGAACAGCGAGCCGAGCTGAGAATTGCTGGCCTCAGGGCTCTGCTTTCTGAGCTGCTAACTGCTCCTGCACACCAGAAGCACCTTCAGCTCCCGTGGAAATTAATAGGTTCTGCTATAGACACACATCCTGGGCCTGCTTTTGCTTTTTAGTAAGAATTCACGAAATGGCTGTTCCAAGATAACACCAGCTGCAGTTGTTTATACTGGAAAGCTATTGCAATGTTCCAGCAAAACTGGAACCAGGAACTCTTTGCTCCAGAAAAAGAAAATCCACACATGGAATTCATTTGAAAAACCTAACCAGAGCAATACTGAGCTTGTGATGCTGGTATATGTTTATACTGTACTGGTCACATTAAAGACATGCATCACAAGGCGATGTTTCTGACCCACTTTCCTAACTCTTGCCTCTCTGAAATCTTGCACAAAACATGTTAGTTCTGCCAGAAGTGGCAATCCTAACCACCTACA